TCCCTATCACCCTGATCCCCTCATTCCCCATCACCCTGATCTCCTCATTCCCTATCACCCTGATCTCCTCACTCCCCATCACCCTGATCCCCTCACTCCCCATCACCCTGATCCCCTCACTCCCTCATCCCCTCATCCTACAGTTTTGAGTCCAGTGATGAATCTGTCTCAAAATGTCAATGCAAGCTCTTAGGACTCAGTATTCAATAACTACCCCAGCTACACTTCCAGCCACCCTGATTCTGCACCTTGTATGCTTAGTCATTTCTCTAACACCCCTAGCTTTCCATCCTTCCACATTTATGCAAGCAGTTCTCTTTGTTGAAATACCACCTCACCCCCAGCCTTCCTTAAGTCTTCCTTATTCTCCTTCCTCTAGATATATTTAGTGATATGGAACACAGTCACAACACAACCTCAAGAAGATCAAGCTCAAGTATAAATCCGTTCACTCAGCATGATTCCAGATCTTTCTACAGAGTGATCTATGCAGGCCCAGACAGACATTGGTAGATGAAGTGGTGGCACTGTCCCTGGGCTGTCCTGACTCCTGCTCTTCTACTCTCAGTTGAGAGAGGAGAAGAAACTTTGTCGCCCAGACCAGCCTCCTGAGTCCCCTAATACTGAAGATGCTCTGTGCCTGACTCTGCTCCGTACTCACACCCTCATGGTCCGCTCCGCCCAGTTTCTGAAGCACTGTCAGGTAGAATTTGAAGAAGAAGCTGAGGGTGAGGGTGCGCCGGAATTCCACCATGCCACCAGGGGCATCGGGGGCCAGGTGCAGCTCCTCTGCCAAGCCAGCACACACATCCTGCAGCAGTTCCTCATTCCAGGACCTGGAGAAGGCAGAGCGTGGGCTTGCTTCCTCAGGCCATCTCCATCACTCAGTGTGGAGCATCACACCGAACCCCTGTCTGAGAGGCCTGGGTTCAGGCTTTGGCTCACATGCCACAAATTGTACAGCCACAGGCAAGCTACTTGATCTTCTGGTGCCTCAGTCCCCTCATCTTTAAAAGCACACACAATTTTCTCTATATACCTATAGATGATAGATAGATAGATGATAGATAGATAGATAGATAGATAGATGATAGGTGGTAGGTCAAATTTTTTTCTTTTTTAATTTTTGAGATTATAATAGAATTATATTTCTTCCTTCCTTTACTCTCTCCAAATCCCCTCATATAGACCTTCCCACTGTCCTGCAAGTCATTGCCTCCTTTTTAATTGTTATTGCATGTACATATGTATATACATGTGTGTTCCTAAGTATAACCTGTTTAGTTTGTATAGCGTTGCTTGTATATATCTTTTAAAATCCTCCCCCCAAATTAGTAACTCTAGATTCTTATAAAATACTAGGCAATGCCTTAAGTACTTTATGTGAGTTGTTAGTTTTCATTTAATTAAGCAAACATTATCATAGGGAGAAGTCTGATGCCCATTTTACCACTGAGAAACTTTGGAATAAAGACTAAGTAAAGTGACTTCTATTACTCGTCTGGTTAATGGTGGATCCAAGGAACCGTGTTTCAAGTTCAGCTCTATCTCTTGTATGTGGCTGTTGTGAGGATCACTTCAGATAACATGAGTGAATCACTTGGCACAGCTGCTACCTTGTGGTAGCCTTGGTTCTAGCAGTAATAGGATTAATCTTAAGAGTACAGTATCAGTAGTAGTTGCAATAATAATAGTAGAAATAGTGGTAGTAGATATAGTGGTGATACCACCACCAACAGCAGTATGACTTCTAATGTTGGTGAGAAGCATGGAGGTAACCATAGTAACAGTCACACTAGGCATGGAAGCAGTAGCATCAGCAGGAATGACACCAGAAATGCTGCTACTATAGAGCTGGTAGTAGCAGTGGCAATACTACTACTCCCTACCAGTAGGAACAGCAGCAGCATCTGTGACAGCAGTGTAGTAAGAGTGACCACGATGGCAGAAAGTAGCCATAGTAACAGTAGCAGTATGCTTCTGGCAGCAATAGCATTAACAGTGCTCGTGGCTTGTAATGGTGCCAGCTGCGCTGGCAGTAGTAAGAGCAGTAGTAGCAATAACGCTAACAAGATAACCCATAAAAGCAGGGTTTCCAATGGCCATGTTCACAATGACAGGTTGAGACAAGAGGGGCCAGCAGCAGTAGCAGCAATAGTAGTAGGAGATACTATCATGGCAGAGATGCTAGCCGTATGGTGATACAAGAATGAATAATCACAGCTGTGAGCCAGTGGTGACAGTAATCATGATCACAGTATTAGAAACATCACCAGAAGGAGCAATGACAGAAAAGCAGCAGAAGCAGATGCAGGAATAGTAACCCCCAGGAGCCAGTGCAGTGGTGCAGTCAGCTTCCTGGTACGGCCAATGCTCACTTGGACAGCTGCTTGGGAGTGGTCTTGAGGGCTGAAATAGTTCTGTTGGCCATCCCTCCAAAGCAAAGGGACAGTTCCTGCACCTCAATGGTCCCTGGCTTGAACAGGACTCTCATGCCACTAGTCACCTTAGCAATGTCATCTTCTCTCCTGGAAGCCTGCTTGAAGGCTGAGAAAAACTCACCCTAAAAAAAAAAAAAAAAAGGCATCATAAAACACGGGGCTGTGATCAGATGGCAGGGGGAAGAAGAGAGAAGATGTGACTGTGCCTTAAAAATCAGTGAGGAGCTAGTCTCAGGTAGTGAAGACAAGACACATCCTTATACTACATTTTTTTAGAAGTTCCTGGTCACAAAGCAGAAAGGGTCAAGACTTCCTCTCCCAGTCAGGCAATTTGGGGGTAGGTGGTCTTTACAGAGCAAACAGCTGGAAGGAGGAAGATACCCCCAGAAAATCTCCCAGAGACCCATTCTGGTGCCAGTGTCAGAATCCATGACCCCTCCAGGGGCTTCCATGAAAACTTGCACGCTGCCTCTCCAGATGGGACAGGGAGATGTGGTTATAGGCTGTGACACACCCTCGCCTGTGGCTCCCCAGATGGTGTAACATGTCCCTCCAGCCAGTACATTGCAGATTGTGACATCCTGTTTCCTGTAAACCTGTGTCCCTCTGTGAAGCAACTGCTGCTTTGTGTTAGAAGCATGCTTCTCTCCTGGGCCTGAACCAGGTCTGTCTCTATGGAGAGGAAGATAAGATGAATCACTTTCCAGAAAAGAGTCATGTGACATCTGCCTTCTGCATTGTGTTGATCCTCGGGTTTTTGGCCAACCTGGCTCTGCATATTTTTATTAATGCTGAAGGCCCTTTGTTCTGAAGGAGCCACGGAGACTGCGCCAAGCATGATTCTTGGTGCTGACATGGCCTGGAGCACCTTTCTCAGAGCTTGAACTAAAGCAGGCAGTGTTCCCTGTGCTACTTCCAGGGCCACAATGGTGTCACCAGCTGTCAGGGTAATGATGTCCTTTCCTGATAAAACTGTCTAGCTCACAGCATAAAGTCTCCTTCCTTTTATCACATGATAGCTTTTGTTAAAGACCATACCTGAAAAACAAAAGCCAAGCCATATGAAGTCCAGCTCTGCCCCTTTCCCCACTCAATTAAAAAAGGAATTAGTGATTCGTGAAATTCAAAATTCTGAGACTCGTTGCTCAAAATAGTCTATAAACACAATCTGGAAGATCATTAGGAGGCCGCCTCAGGGGCGTAATTGCTCAGATTGAATTAGCATTCTCATTAAGGAGGTCAAACTCCGTAAGAGCAAACATTGGCTACTGGCTTCCTGTAACCCATGGTTATCCTGACAGCTGCTGCATTGGCCTCGCCCAGAACATTTTTGTAATGTGTCTGCTGTGACTGTATTCTCAGTTGGTGGCTGCTGAGAGGAGAACTACACTGGGCCAAGCCACCCAAGGCGCCACATCTGCCCAAACGAATTGGAAAAGATGCTCATGAAGCCAAAATCCTGCAGTGTCAGGCCAGTGTAAGGTCAGTGAGCCAACACCTTAGCAAGTCCAAGGTCGGTACATGAGTCTCTTAAAGCAGCCTCTTCACTCTGCATGCAGGACCTATACACTTCACCTTGGGAAGATCATATCATTGGCATGGGACAGGAATAGCAAACAGAGAAGTTCTTGGGACTGTGCTGAACTGCTGGTTGATAATCATCATTGGCTTCGTACATCTACCAGGAATCTCATGAGCTCTGTCCTTCAGTCTTCCTTGTAGTCTGTGTGGTGAGTTATACTGTGCCAACTTTACAGAGAGGACATGGGGACTCAGAAAGGTGAGACATGTCACTCTAGACCCCCTGCCTGACTGTTGAGTTCCACAGTCCATGCCCTGAAATTTCTTGTCCAGAAACGGTAGGGTTGGTTCATCAAAAGCAATGTCAGTGATAATGGATCCATGATAAAGTTGAAAGATGTTGATATGGTTTTGAGACTGTCTTTAGCTCCTTATCTGGAGACTAACACTGGTACAGTTTGGACAGAGCCTAGAGCCACCTCTACTGCCTTACCTCCCTGCTGTAGGGGATCTCAATAGACAGCAATATCTCCTCTGGACTGAGCAGAGTCCTTCTGTAGCCAGGGAAGAAGGTATGGTCCATCCGAACAGTTCTCTTGGTACCTGTATGCAGACAAGATGATGGTCACATGCAGATGAGGTTGGGAGCAGAGTACAGTCCATCAGTGGGACGAGTTCCCCTTCATGTTCTCTGATACCACAGTCAGAGGATGCATGCTCCTTCTGAGGGCCTTCAACAGTGTGTGCTGGTCAATGTCTAACAATCGTCTATTTGGAGGGAAGAAAGCTCCAGTCTGTAGTATGTCATCTTATGGTATAAATAGACCCTCCATAGCCAAGGTCAATTCGCCATGCAAAGTCCCTGAATGTGAAGTCAGAATGAAGGCGAGAGAGATTTGTATCACTGTTTTCATCTCTGTCTTCTTCCAGAAGAGCTGACAAGGATAGTCCTGGCCTAGCTGGCATCTGGGAACTTCAGAAGGAGTCGTACAATTTGGGCAGTGTGACATGTGTAACAAGGAATCTTGGGTGGTGAATCTCTAATGAGTTTCTGTAGCAGACAATAATTCTCTCATGTCACAACTCAGTGCAGGGGGAATTGTCATAGATTCTGGCCCTTGCACCTCTCAGGTGAGATATCCAAGTGGCCAGTCCAACTGTGAATCCCCTACTAAGGCCATAGAAGTCAATGTGGGGGGTTTCAAAAGAATAACACTGCCGTATGACCCAGGACTACCCCTTCTGGACAAAACCCCACAGGAACCTACATCCCAAAATGTTTAATGTTGCTTTATTCACACAGCAAGGAAAAGGAATCAGCCCAGATGCTCATCCATAGATGAGGGGTTCACAAAACTGAAAATGCAATTCTAATTGGCCAAAAAGAAAAACGAAATTATAAAATGTGCAAGAAAATGGACAGAGTTGGAAAATATCCTCTCGAGTGAGGTAATCCAGGCTCAGAAAGTCAAACCCTACAATTTCTCTCCCACCTGAAGTTCCTAGCTTCTAATGTTTTCTATATGTACTTTGAAGGGGTGAGTGTGAGTGGAGACCAGGAAACTAGGAAGGAACCCATGATGGGGGGTAAAGGGGCTTTGAGGGACATAGATTAAGAAGAGGAAGGGAAGGTAATTATGTAAAGTTAAAGTGATATAAAGAGGGGAAATATTGGGGACAAAGGGGAACAATGAGGACAGGAGAGGGGACAGGAAGACATGGGGGAGGCCCAACCAAACCTAGAGTGTATGAAAATGTTATAAGGAAACCTGTTATTTTGTGTGCTGATTTTAAAAAATTAAATTTGAGAAAGAAGAAACCAAAAGTGAAGCAATGCTTAACTCTCTCAGCCCCTCAACCCGGATTGATCTCCCTGTAACTTCCACGAATAAAAATCTTAAAGCACTGGGGATCACTGGATTTGGGACTTTGTTTCTCTAGAAAAGCACCCGTCCAGTAAGACTTTCCTTCCCCAAGTCATTCTTTCTGGATCTCCATCTCAGGCAGCTCACCTCTAGACACGAGGGTCAGCTTGGCTCCACTGGCCATGAACACAGGGTTGAGGTCAGAGATGGGGCTGGCAGTGATGATGTTCCCTCCGATGGACTAGTGAGGACAAGCAGAGAGTGAGTGAGTGAGTGAGTGAGTGAGTGAGTGAGTGAGTGAGTGAGTGAGCTGCTCAGACCCCTGCAGGGCAGGAGGTGACAACTGTGTAGGTAGGCATCCCCTGAGGACCTGACTCCTCAGGGAGACATAGCCTCAAGGAAACCAACAAACCTGAAGTCAAAACACTTGGGATGGGTTCTCAGCTCTGAAAAGTACACATGTGCACGCATCAGTCAACTGAGGTTAGCTCTTGGGAATCGTTTCCCCTCCCCAAACCTTGTTTTTTTTTTTTCCTGGAAGGATTGAGGTAAGTTATCACAGGGAATGTAAAGAATCAATAAAATGAAATCCAAGATAAAGATCAGGAAAAAAGAGGACAACTTCTAGATGAATAGCTGGCTCTTTTTGGATCTAAACTTCCTGGCAATTTGATAAGAATCAGATAGACAGTTGTGTTAAGGAACAGAAGAGGAAAGGCAGCTTGAGCTGAGAACAGAACACCTCGGAAGCACGCTTAGGGGAACTGGGAACAAGGTGTTGCTCTCTGCATTTCTGTTTCTCCATCTAAAACCAGAAGCAGCACGTTCCTCTTGGACAGGGTAAGGCATTGAAAATGTGCTGTTCTGTTCCATTTTAACCTTAATACAAATTTCAAAAAGTAGAATGGGAGAGATAGGTTATCTCCCAATACCAAGAACTATGTGAATCCCAAATGGAGCAACATAAATGCTATTCTCTACAAACTACAAGTGTCAGGACTCCTCTGAAGGCTGACAGGATGGTCAACAAATGGACCCTTCCCTCCTCTAGAGGGGCCTCTGTGCTTCTGGTTCTCCCCTAAACTCTGAGGGGGTCCATCCGATCCCACGTCTGGCTTCTCACTAAGATATCTTTCATTCACATCCTGAAAATCCTGGGCTAACTTAAGAAAGAGAGAGATAGGATACTGTCTCTCCAACCTTGAGGGAGAAGTGTCCACAGGCCACCTTCATGAGAAGTTCCCAGGGACTTATCGCAAACCTGGGTTTTCATCCCTCCTCTCTGCCTCTGACCCGAGGACTCACCGCCACGGACTTGACCTGCTTGCCAGCAAACCAGCGCAGCTGCTCCGTCACGCCTCTGAACACCTCTGTCTTTTGTTCTGGAAGTTTAGCAATTGCATCCACCAGGACACTTTCCACCAAGCTAAGGGGGCAAGCAGCTCCAAAGGAAATTCCTGTGGATACACGCCAGAAATATAGTCACTCCTAGCTAGAAAGACCTTTCATAGGCTGCTCCTGTAAAACAGAGCCAGGCTGAAGTTTCCATCTTTATAAGGCCCAGAGAAGCTACGTAACTAATGCTACATGAGCCGGGGCTATGCCTATACCTCTGGATTCCATAATCAGCACGCTTTCCTATAATCCAGTAATTCTCAACTCAACAAAAATCAAAACCTCTAGGAAGTGACGTTCTGGCTTAAAGGGGGTGGGGCACACAAACACATCATCCCCATCTCTCTAGTTCCGTTGTCACATGATTCAGTGTGTCGTCAGGACCAGCCACCACCAAGATTCTCACATCCTCCTGCCAAGGATGACTCTACATGTTCAGTGGAAGAAAATCTCCTTCCTAAATCACCCCTGCCCTGTACCAGGTGGGCACCAGGGGAAGCAGATGGCAGCCTTACCCTCAGGCCCATGAGCCACTGAATTCAGTTCAGGGATCCAGGCTGGGCATACAATCAGAGGAAACAGCATATTCTTAAACTTCATTTCAATGCCTTTGGGAAATAAGAAACTTGGGTTAGAGACCTTAATGGTTTCCCCACATCACACATGGGACACATGGCTTGATTAGCATCACACTGAGCACCAGGAGGGGGCTCTGGATTATTAGGAAACATAACAGGTGAGGAGGAATTAGGCCAGTCATAATCTCTGTCTTTTTCACTCAAAAACAAGTAAAAAAAATGAACTCAGAGTCACTGCAATGTGTTAGCATAGTGTGGTGGCAATAGAGACATTAGAAATCACAAGGCATTAAGGGATGTCTGAAATTCTTCCAAGCACTTCATGCTTTAGCTTACTTGATATTCCTAATAGCCCTGTGAGAGAATTCTAGGTTTCTGTTTATAGATGTGAAACCTGAGCTGTGGAAAGATCCAACTTTTTTTTAAAAAAATGATCATTTATGCGTGTATGTGTACGTGCACAGTGCAAGCGTGTGCACGCCATGATGAGCATGTAGTACCAGAGATCAACTTTCAGAAGTTGATTCTCTCCTTCCACCGTGGGTCCTGGGGATAGAACATAGGTCATCAGGCTGAAGTGTCTAGCATCTTTTCCCCACTAAACTATCTCACTAGCTGCAAATGTTTTTGCTCAAATCCACAGCTTGGAAAAAGCATATTTTAGTCTTGGGTCCATAGTAAGGGGTAGGGTATAATAACAAAAACATCAAATCCTTACATTCAAGCAAAAGAAAAAACATGAGATATAAAACTTCAAATCTGTCTTCCAACTTCCAGTATCACTGTCTGAGCTCAAGGTGAGGAATCCTTGCAGGGCTGCATCATTGTCCAGTTTGTCTCCACCCAACTAATCAAGTTAGAAGCCTATGCTGATGCTGATGCTGATGCTGATGCTGATGCTGATGCTGATGCTGATGCTGATGCTGATGCTG